CTTGTGACATGTAGGCCAAATGCTCAACAGAGATAGGTTTGCAATAAATCAGTGAACAACATCTGTTGCCAAAAAATGCTAATGCTAAGTGGCCCTTATTTATTTAGCGCCTTTTCAATTCAAAGCCCCCCAAAGCACTCTACACTATATTCAGTAATTCACACACACATTCATTTTGAATAAAAAACAGACATGTTGATTTAAAATTTTACATTACTCTTATAGATGTATATAAACTAGTATTTAGAGCTCTGGCTGTTTCATGCCTTGGATTGTATCATGAAAATCTCTCTTTTCTTTTATTGTGCATATCTACCAGGTTTAATCACATGACTTCAGTTTTTGGCACAAAGTCACTTAATGACTCTTGCTCAAACTCAGCAGTGAGTTGCAGATTCATGCAACATCATGCTGGATAGTTTGAGTACGGAAATCAGGAAATCCATCTAATTTAAATCACATCAGAATTTTCCATCCAAACTGAAACAAAATAAGTTTATAAAGGTGGTTGTAATGTAGTTTGCTGGAGCCAGACATGCAGCTCATCCTTACAGGTGTACAAGCTTCTTCTATTTTTTCATAAATTACAACAAATACAATTTTAGACATTCTGTGCAACATTTAGCACTTATAATTGGTTTAATATTCAAACCAATCAAACAGTTGGTGTATTTTTGTTTTACTTGGAAATTGTTCAAGATCAGTCCTCCTCTGGACTTTCTGATGCTCTTTAAAAGTTTATTCAGTCTCGGTATTATAAAGTAAATTTGTTTTATAAAAAATGACTAGGGATTAAAAATAATAGGAAAAGGTTAAAGTATAAAAGAACCTTTTAAGACACCATATTTAAAATATAAGGAAATCCTGAAATCAATTAGTACTCATAACTTTCTCAACACTAGGCAATTTTGCAGCTGATACTTCCTCATGCTGACAGAAGGTGGCACCAAAGTAAAGGGAAATGTTAACATGTTTGCCTTGCAAACATGGGGTTACTTCAAACTATTAAATATTTATAAATATACTAAAAACATAAGGAGACAGTGTCAACAAAAAAAATTAATAATGTTTAAAAGTGAATGTTTTTCCCTGATAAAATGGT